CATAGTAAAGTCTGAAAAAAACCCAAAGTAATTCATTGAGATCAACAACAGGAAAATTCTCAAACATTAAAGCGAACATGATATGTCTGGGTTTTTAATATGAATACTTAAGGTCTTCACTTAATATACGAAATGTTATGAACTGTATATCAGTTTGATTTCGTGTGTACGTTTTATTCGTTTGCAGGTTTTATTCATGAATACTTGAATTGGCTTTTGAGAGAATTTACTTTCAAAGTTGATAGTAATATTTAAAGAAGCCTGTAATAAAGAATGAATCGGAAATATTATCTCGCGAAAAAAAGTTATAAAAAGTGATAGACAAGTATGTCATATGAATTTATATGCAAAATTTAATTTTTGTAACTACATAGAATATAGCTTTCAAATGATTCACATGGTAAGAATGATATCTATAATCGGAAAGTGTGTTTCATTTTCTACTCGTAAATACATCAATAATTATGATAATACATGGACTACTTATTGGTCTAGTCAACATATCTATATAGTTCGTTTTTGACCTGGTATTCCTTGTCCAGGAGTTCGTCAGCCTCTTTTTGCTCTAAGACAGCCCCAAAACTCTTTACAGTTATGGAAATTGACTCGTCGACATCACTGAAATTTCCACCAGAGTTTACGTACATGTTGTCCTCGTCGTCTATGTCAATGTCCTCCAACCCTATTGACCTCTTACGCGCTCTACCTTTTCCTTTGTGTACGATCTTCTGTTTCTGTACAGAATCCTTGCTTTCCTCTTCGGGTAAATGTTCATCTAGTCAAGGAAATAAAGGTGAAGTACATTATCCTTTTTAGATATTCCATGTTCAACATATAATATTTATTCACCTTAAGTTTATCTACCTGACTAACTTGTTATATAGTGACACCCATATCATACGTCGAGTGATATCACATATTCTGATGTCAGAATTATGACAATAGACATGACGTAATTACATTTTGACGCTGCATTGGAGACCATTGACATAACGATGTCCTCTTTGAAGAATTCATATCTGTGAAAAAAAAACATGCGTATGCATTGCTAGTAAAATATTATTTAAACGGATCAACTGTGTATATTTCGTTTCGGTTTTATATTGGATTCATGAAACTTATTCCGAACTTTTCTATTTGGTTTAAACAATATTTTATTTACAAATATGCTGTACATAATATATAATTTTATATAATGTAATATTAGGAATCTGGCAACAAACTGTTCTATTTAACTCAGGGCAGGTAGCCTCGCTAGACTTCTCGATTTGATTCATATTTTTTTAATTTATTTCAGATCCTATATGCATAACATATTTAAATATTTATGAATTATAGAGTAGTTACAATGTAGGTATAGAGGGAATGGAAATTCTTTCCAGTCGAGGTTATATGGCCCAACTCTGCAATAGGAACGCTTAGCTCAAATTTCTCCTTGAGGATTTATATTTTTTATCTCACCCGTTGTCTGCAGTATTGATAAAAACAGCGCTTAAATTGCAAGTTAAACACAATAGATAGTTAAATGTTTAGATAACGTAACAATTTATAAACGTGAAGATCATCTTAAATGAAAGGATAACACGACTTATAGTTCCGGAAGAATTACTGTCTTTAGTTTTATCTAATACATCCGCCATGAAATATAAGTGTGTTGCTCCGGCTTGTCAATTTGTGAAATATGGTTAAACACACTCAATCCTGGAATCAGTAGACATTCGGACGAAAACACGGAACAACCGAAGAACGGAGGGACAGCAATGATGACACCAATAACGATCCGGTAGAACTGGCCGTATCTAAAATTACCAATCAACCCTTAGATTGTTAACCAGTTGACAAGGAGCAATTTTTTTTTACACATATGATTTTAAAAGTATTTGTTCACATTTATGAGAAACAACTTACCCAGTCCAGTATCATTAATGAAGTGCCTCTTGTTTTGTTCGTATTTAGGACTGTTTTTACTTCCAGCCTGTTGTCGTCTGAGATAAAAACAAACAAACAAAACTAATGCAACAAACCCGAATTTGTTGCAAATTTCAAATATGACAAAACAGATTTTATCTCTTTTTAAAATTCGCAATATTTCCATATTTCAAAGTTGGCATTATGTCCATAGTACAAATTCACAAGTAAATGTACCTAGCCTCTCGATCATCCAATTTAAAATATCACATCTAACAAAGCCACCTTCTGGGATAAGATATTTGTTAACGATATGATACATTACCTTTTCAGCAGAAATACGATACCAATGGCTAGCACAGCGACCACACACGCTCCGATTACTCCTCCAACTATGCCCCCAGTACCACTTCCGGTGTCGTCTTTATCAGATATCGGTTGATCTGTGTCGTATAAACGAGGTTGTATGCGTTTCTATATGTTCCATGTTATCAATAGTGGGTTTTGCTAAATTATATTTAAAATGTATTGTTATAAGTAAGAACCTCGTTATGGAAACACTCCATATTAAATCATTATAAATGACAATTCAACATCGTACACTTTTTTATTATTTGTATATCATATTTATACCAAAATAAGTTCATGATTATTACTTATTCGGAAACGTTTAATTTCCTACAAATATATCATATTTATGTATTTCAAACAAATCATTTTATTCTTAATCTTATAGCATAATCTGATCTAGATGGTGCAAAACTAGCTTTTTATCCTGCTGTGTTTACATTGTAATGTGCAGGTGTATATTTGTTTTCCAGATTACAAAATTACTGAATTGACATTGTGTATATAACGAACAATCTACCTGTGCGTGTATTGTATAAACAATCTGCCTGCCTAAGTATTATAAAAAATTCTACCTGACTAAGCATTATATCAACAATCTACAAGACTTAGCATTTTATAAACAATATACACGACTTTGTATTTTATTAAGAATCTACCTGGCTAAGTATCATATAAAAAAATTACCTGAATAAGTTTTATATAAACAATTTACCTGACTAAGTTTTATATAATCAATCTACCTTACTGTGCATTTTATAAACAATCTGCCTGACTTAGTATTATATAAACAATCTACCTGGCTATATAGTGTTTTAACAATCTACCTGATTATGTATTATTTTAACAATCTACGTGGCTAAGTAATATATAAACAATTTACCTGACTATTTATTTTATAAAAAAAACTACCTGATAATGTATTGTATAAACAATCTACCCGACTAAGTATTTTATAAACAATCTACCTGATAAGGTATTCTATAAACAATCTACCTGGTAACGAGTATATAAACAATCTACCTGCTAATGTATTGCATAAACAATCTACCTGCTAATGTATTGTATGAACAATCTACCTGATAATGTATTGTATAAACAATCTACCCGACTAAGTATTTTATAAACAATCTACCTGCTAATGTATTGTGTAAACAATCTACCTGCTTATGTATTGTATAAACAATCTACCTGCTAATGTATTGTTTAAACAATCTACCTGATAATGTATTGTATAAACAATCTACCTGCTAATATATTGTATAAACAATCTACCTGATAATGTATTGTTTAAACAATCTACCTGACAATGTTTTTGATAAACAATCTACCTGACTATGTATTTTATAAACAATCTACCTGGAAATGTATTGTATAAACAATCTACCTGCTAATGTATTGTATAAACAATCTACCTGATAATGTATTGTATAAACAATCTACCTGACTATGTTTTTTTATAAACAATCTACCTGGTAACGAGTAAATAAACAATCTACCTGATAATGTATTTTATAAACAATCTATCTGACTAAGTTTTATATAAACAATCTACCTGATAATGTATTGTATAAACAATCTACCTGACTATGTTTTTTATAAACAATCTACCTGGTAACGAGTAAATAAACAATCTACCTGATAATGTATTTTATAAACAATCTATCTGACTAAGTTTTATATAAACAATCTACCTGATAATGTATTGTATAAACAATCTACCTGACTATGTTTTTTATAAACAATCTACCTGGTAACGAGTAAATAAACAATCTACCTGATAATGTATTTTATAAACAATCTATCTGACTAAGTTTTATATAAACAATCTACCTGATAATGTATTGTATAAACAATCTACCTGACTATGTATTTTATAAACAATTTACCTGCTAATGTATTGTATAAACAATATACCTGCTAATGTATTGTATAAACAATCTACCTGATAATGTATTGTATAAACAATCTATCTGACTATGTATTTTATAAACAATCTACCTGGTAACGAGTAAATAAACAATCTACCTGATAATGTATTTTATAAACAATCTACCTGACTAAGTTTTATATAAACAATCTACCTGATATTGTATTGTATAAACAATCTACCTGACTATGTATTTTATAAACAATCTACCTGACTAAGTAATATATCAACAATCTACCTGACTAAGTATGATATAAACAATCTATCTGACTATATATTATTTAAACAATCTATCTGACTAAGTAACATATAAACAATCAACATGACTATATGTTTTATGATAAATCTTTCTGCCTTTGTGTTTCATAAACAAATTACCTGGTTATATATTTTATGATCAACCTTACTTGTTATGTATTTCACAAACAAACTACCTAAATGGCAGGAATTGCCATAGTAACCATCCAAGCATCCCTCTTCACATTCTCCATTTTCGTGATGACATCCCGTCATGTTGAAGCACTGTCCACACGTTAACTTACAATCTTGTCCATATGATGATTTTGGACATCCTGTGTCAAATATCAACAAAATAGCTATATAGATTGTGGTGTCAAGTTTGATTAATTGGAAATTTTCACAATGACCTAGACCATATGTTACACTTTGCAAAAAGTGTGAAAAATGGATCAATTATCACTATTAAAGTAGGAAACAATGACGTATTCAAAGCAAATATCATACAAGTATAAAGTTCAACTATGTATTCGTCGTAATTGCTAAGTTTCTATTTCCCCAAGATAATATGTATTTCCCGAAGCGAAATAAAGCGACCCCTCTTTTTTACGCGTACCTTGAATTAATCAAATCGCATGTTTTTTTGGTGTGTTTTTTTCAAATTAAATTTAAGCTTTTATCTAAGCACCGGAAAGTTTTAAATAACGGTAAATTAATATGCCCAGTGCTGTACGTTAGGAAAATTCCACCCAAGGGGGTATTTTTCTAAATCCTGAGAATATTTTCCTATCCTACAACCCTTGGCATAAAAGAGTATTTTTCTCCCTTTCCGATCACCACAATTAGCCTCGAAGTCACATAAAGCACCCCAATTTCCGCATCATTGATCGGAATGTTTCCTAACTCGTGACGTCAAGTCATTTCTTGTCCCATTAAGGTCATTGGAGTGTATTGATATACGGAAACAGGAAGTACATCCCTAGTTGAAAATTCAGTGTAGGGAGACAGTATCACAATTTCCGCATTTTCTAATGTTTAATATGAAACTGATGAATATTGTATGTTTATTATTGACAGAACAGTATGTTCTCTCAATATTAAAGTATTTCAAAGCAATCCAGGCGTTAATTCAGGTGGTTTTTTTTATCAGTGAGTCACATGTGTTCATTTTTTCTGTACTTCAGGAACCCGGCTACCTATTTCACTACTGTGATCTTTTTCAAGAACGATAACTATTACCTGCAGATACTATGTGTATATGGTTTTATTATAAAATGTCAATTTTTATATCTTGTATAGAGAATTATTTTTACACAATTTCAGCATTTATTAAATTGATATACGTTAATGCAATACTAATATATGTCAGTATCATTTTTATTGACATTATTTTGTAAAAATCTTTTTTTTTTCAAAATTCACTCCTTTTTACATAAATTTCCATTTAAAATCCTTAAAATTCTGACAACCTATATTTTCTTTGAGGCAGACAATTTTCTTAACTTTAAAGCAATATAACTACAAAATTTGAAGAAATTCTACTGAGAAATGGTGACACAATCCTATTACGTTACGCACCTGCCCTAGACAGTTCTGTCATTTACGCACAGGTAAGTGATCATTACCACAGACAAATCTTGCACGACCTTCTAATGAAGATATACTAACGTTCACTACATGTGTCACCCCTCCAGCCTGGCAGACATCCGGATGCAGAGCAGTTTCCTGTCACGTGACTACATGCAGTGTCCTTACAATGACATTGTTTCGTACAGTTAGCACCAAAATGTCCTGATTTGCATTCTGATTAAATAAATGTCAATGTGTTACATGATTAACAATGTTTCGTCCTAAAACCCTATAAGATATTTGCTATCGTAAATAAACAAGACTATTTTTTAATTAGCAATGTTTCATCTTAAGAAAAATATGTCATTATTGTACGAAGGTCTCAATGGTAACTATTTAAGCATATATTAATCAATTGATCGGGAAGTCTCAGTGCAAATGTTTTGGTTATTAGTAAATATATCACAACAGCCCACACTATTCATACATGTAGTAAATATTAAGTTATATTTGTAAAATTTATCATGACCCAGTTAGAGGTCTCAATGTTACTTTTTTATTTTATTAATGTTTTGTTTTTGTTGTATATCGATTCTATGGTAATTCTTACTTGTACTGCACGAGCTACCAACGTATCCATCACTACAACCATCTGATGACAAACAGGTTCCATTGAAGCGGCTACAGCCGGGGGTCATACAATGACACGTGAGGACACAGTCTTCTCCAAACATGTTTTTGGGGCATTCTGTAGGTAAGCATTTAATAATTATTAATTGTGTGCATGCTGTAAACAAAATGACAAACAGCGAAAAGATATGAATAAAGATATATCAAGGACGACATACAATGTTAATCTGGTGAAGTTCATAACAATAAGTAAAAAGTAATTCTTTGATAAATCAGTACTTACGTGTTGAGCATGACGTTCCCATCCACCCAGATATACATCCAGGTATTGCACATGTCCCGTCGGCATGGTTACAATCAACTGTTTTGCATCTACATTGTGATGTGCACTTATTTCCAAAATAAGGAGCAACACATGCTATAGAAAAATTAAAAAAAAGTAAGTAGCATTTAAAATTTTAATTACTGTGATTTTATTCAGTTGGACTTATGAAATTCAGAACATCAGAACACAGTATTTACATTGGCTCCGGTCTCATTTAGTTATACAAAATAAATTCATAGTTTCAGTTAAATGGACCCTATTTACCTTGGCTACAGGAAGAACCATTCCAGCCATCTAAACAGCCTGCACTTGTGTTTGTACAAGTACCATCTGCCTTATCACATCCGGGTACAGCGCAGTGACATCGATTGTTACATTCCTTACCGAACATTCCCTCGGCACAAGCTATACAGAAAAGTTATTATTAGTTAAGGATACTCATAACTTTCAGATGTCGTTTATATCCACTAGTGATGTATCTTAATTAAATGCAGATCTGGGTCAGTATTCATGAAACAATTTTCATGCTCAAGTATGAATTCTGTGCTGAAGCCAACTGTCTTGTTACTCGCTTAAATCATGCAACATTGCCAAGAAGTCAATATAAACATTAAAAATTGTTTTCGGATTTAAGTTTCTGTAAAATTCTTCCATGACAAACCTTGACAAAATGTGATTTTTAAAAATGATTTATCAGGGGACAAGAAATTGAGTTTGAACACAGAATTTGAGCTTGAGCGGGAAAACGGTTTCGTGAATAGTCGTTTTTTATTAACAAACAAAAATGCGTGTGTAAACTTGTGTGTCTACATTTTGTACAACTTGTAAATATATACAAGCAGCTATTACTTTACTCTTTAGGATAATTCGTTTACACGTGTATGTCACGTATCAAAAGAAAACATTTCATTTAAATGTGTCCTACACATGTTATTTGTACAAAAAACAAGGAAATATTTTAATGAGAAAACGGCAAAGCTCTAGGAGCAGCGAAGCATTTGCCCATCTCCTTTATTTTTAAAATATTACATCATAAGAGGGAAGCACTAACAATATGCATTTTTTGCAATCCAAATATTTTGTTTCATGCCTGTTAAAATATAGATTTTCAAAGTATCTACAGCACAGTAATCGAAATCTGCAATCATTTGGGACAATTTGTTCCGCAAATACATGACCTCTTTAAGGTATTTTGTAGCAACGTGTCATGACTAAATAATTAATAATTAAAAAAAAATACAGTTCCTCTCTTTTAAAAAGCGCCTGATTTTAATAAACCTATTTAACCTATTTTATAGCAGACTAAACAAAGATGAACTCCCCGCATTTATATTTTTAGCCTATCGTACACCCACATCAAAAATCTGGTCCAGACGCAGCAGTAAGGACATGACGATGGCGCAACATATTCCTCTTGGTTTTCCGATTTATCTTTGTTTCCGGTTGACATATTACCACGCTATACATGTAGTAAGGCAATTGATTAACGAAGTTTCCTGCATGGCAGTATTACATTTATGCTTACAAAACAAACTGAAAGTGTGTTCTCTTATTTAAAACTGAAAAGATCCAATAATAATATGTTAGTGTCACGCTAGTAAGGGGGTTATTTCATTCAAACGTTTCCTGGACGTCTCAGTGGAATACAAAACAAATAGATATTTTAACTGCTTTTATTTATTTAAGTTCTAGACTTGTCTCCCCGCCCCTCTGTCATGGTACGTGTTATACTAGTCTTGTGAAAGCTTAATTTAATTAAATATTTATTAAATAATGAATATTTGAACAGGACGTTTGTTTAAGCAAATAAAAACGTTAGCCATATTGAATTCCTTAACTTACGTATATTACATGACTCCCCCGTCCAGCCAGCAACACACCCGGATACGTTACAATGACCTGTTACCGAGTCACAACCAGGAGTATCACAGTTACATTCGGATGAGCAGTTCTCGCCAAACGTTGTGATCGAACAAACTGAAAGTAATGAAATATATTAATTTCTACTGACTTATAAAAACAAGAACTTTTATTTACCTAGTATGTATGATTGACTGTAAAATAATTGCCGAGGTGGTTCACCTGAATAATTATACAGTAAACCCCCTTCATAAAAACCACCTATGGGTCTTAGAAAAGGTGGAGTTAATAGCACACTGGTCTTTATTGTGAGGTAGACAAGAACCGTAACTCTATGTAACTTTTACACCCTACATATCATGTAACATCGTAATTGTAATGCACTCGTACATAATTCAGGAATTCATCGGAATATGGAAACATTTGATATATTACTCTACAGTACTGACCTTGATTTTGTTGTCGGTTTTTAAGCAACAAATAAAATATACTATTGTTCTGTAAATATGTATTGATAACAAACACATGGTGCAGTTTCAAGTTCACATGGTCTTTAATATGAAGTGCATTCAGGATTTAGATCTGTTTTTAATAGATATACTTCATGAAAGATCAATCATTATGATGAAATTAATTATTAATATTAAATGTCTTTGAACTGTAATTTCTGTTGGCAAATGGACAAATAATTTATGATAACGATACCAAAAGCCGTGACTAACCTTGATTACAACTGGTTCCATGATAACCAGCCTGGCATCCTGGTGTGTTACATTGTCCGGTCACTCCGTTACATCCGGGTGTCTTACAACGACATTCATCAACACAGTTCTCTCCAAATGTAGCTGATGAACAAGCTGAAATGGAGATACATATATACATCATGTTGCTGAACTGCTACCATAATTAGAGTTATTTCTCTAACCGATTTGAATGATATACATATTTTTGTTGTGACATGTGTGCATGCACATTATGTAGCATCACAGCCCGCTTTTTATGTTTCTAATTGTTAGATCGTGGTCAATACCAGCCCTACTAAACATTATATAATTATTCAAGTCTGTTGTGTCGGGGTTAAAACAATGTTTACACATTCGCTTGTCCCAAATGCTACATACTTTGATTGCAAAACCGTGGTCCAGTCCAGCCCGCATTACAGTGTGTTGAATCACAAACTCCGTTGTCAGGGTCACAGCCGTGTTTACAGTTGGCACAATTGTATTGACACTGGTCACCATATGTATGTGTAAAACAACCTGACAGATTAATTGTCAAAATGCATTACGATATTATTAACAAATATTGTGAGAAAATAGAGGAACATTTGTTTCACAAATCGACTTTTAGATATACATTGATAAAAAAGCATAAGTACTTTAACATGATGAATTTGAGCCTAGAAAGTATATACCTACATTAAATTTATAGGCGGTTTCATATTCTTTAAAAAACAATCGTCTCTGGCTTTAAGTAACTCATCAAATTAAAAATTACCATACACATCCACCTCACACACGTCCATATACGCTAGTGTTGGTGCTGTCCTTGTGATGATTATCATCACTCTCTGACCGGTTATGTCACACGAGGTGATGTTTTGAGTTAAGTTTGGGACGCCGAAATCCACATCCTCGTAACATTTGTTACCAGACGGTATACCTGTATCGTTTGATATCCACAAGGCAAAGCCATCGGCACGAGCTGTCGACGATAAAGATCAATTGAAAAATACGCAAGTACCAAGACGAACAGTCAAACTGGAGTAAATGTTCATACCATTGCAATAACGATTGTACGTTACCTACTACAGGGGTGTCAGCGTTTCAGTTGACAAACGGAATGGAATGAAAACGCAATGAAAACGCAACGAGAACGAAATGAAAACGGAATGAAACAAGGCCTAAACGGAACGGAACGAAAATAATTTCACTGTTTGGAACGAAACGCGAATAGAACGGAACGAAACGTGTTTTGCTCACAGGAACGGAATGGATTGAAAGTAGGTGGAACGAAACGCGAGGAATGATTGAAAACGAAATGGAATAAAACGATCCGAGAAGATAACTATTTTAATCGAGATTTCCTATCTATAGTGGCTAGTTACGATAAATTAGCAGTAGATAATAATGTTTAGTAAATAATTACAACTTTTCATATTCGTTTATCGACTGTAGTATACGTATTTATTAATCCATATCTTAGGTTTCTAGACGATATCAGAGACACATACTTAATCGATTATTGGTGAATTGTTTCGCCGAATGATCTGTCCGTTGTTGAAATAATATATGATAAACGTACTTTCACTTGACGATTTCACAAAGCATCCAATACGTATTAGGGTTTTACATATTACTTTTATGAATTCGGTGCATGGCCAAGATTCTCATTTATTATTAATATTGTATGAACCAACTAACAATACTCCGAGACGGACGATGTCCAGGGCCCAGGATCATGAAACAGACTTGCAAGTCTAAATCTGGACTTAAGTCTCAAGTTTTTTTTATTTAAGTTTAAAACAGACTTAGCTTGGGGATTATGAAAAAAACGGGCAGACTTTAGTCTGAATTTGATCTTAAATATGACGGACATATCGTACGTCTGCTTCATTGAGAGAAAGGAGGAGACATTTCGTCCCGAGTATTTCTAGACCATTTACTTTTAAAACCCTCCAATTAATTCAGGACGAATGGATAGTTTTACAAACGTGCTGAAATGTTTATCTTGCGTCTCATTTTATTGTAGACGTGTACCTCCCTATCAAAAAACATACCTTATAGATCGGTGTTGTAAATGTTGTAAACAATGCGACTGCAGCGCCACATCCTCGACGGTACCGTAATAAAACTAATACACGCTCTCGAAATGTATCCGGCATTTGCGAGATCACAATTCTCACCGTACTGCGGATGAAACGAAGATGTAGCCTAGTGTTCCTTCTAGCCTAAATAATTCGTTATTTTAATAATCATACATTGCTTTGAGAATTATTACCTTCTAGCTGGGTTTTTTTTATCAAGTTGTATTATTACACAAGAAAAAAAGTGATAGACTCTAAATATTTAACCAGAATTTGCAATATATATATTATTTGAATATAGACAGTCAGCATGTCCTGGCAGAATTAAGATTAATGAAAGAATTGTAAGACATTCAGCTTTACAATATTTGAGGAAACTGATCAACCTTGTCTGGCCTTCAGCTTTTATGAATATTTTCTTGCCGATGGACAAATCTGATGTTTTGATTAATAATAGAAAATATTCCCCTACCTGGAAGGTGAGACACAGAAATCAACAACCAAATAAGTGATTGTTTTTAGTTGTCAAACTGTTACTTAGACAACCAATTAATGATCACACCAAGGACCTAACCTTACTCCAAGTCAATATTGCATGCATAAACTGTAAAAACTGAAAAAAATACTATCATAAAGACCGATTGTCTAAGAACAACCATGATCTTATAGATATGCATAATCTTTCCAGATATATCATAGCACACTATTCCATGGATATCCGAGAAAATATTCCTTAAAAGTAATAAGTATATTTCTATAATTATAATTTCTATGTAATACGAGCCTCGGCAAGCTTGCTCAAA